TTAACAAATACGCCCGGAATTGCGTGAGATAATACGATCCGACTAAATTTTTTTTTTGTTGCATTATTTATGATCGCCAGTGTAAAAATAACTATATTTTTGATGAGTTTTTGTAAAATTCAATTTAACTATGATTGTACTTTAAGTAAAAAGATAAAACCTCCACAATCTTACTAACTAAAATTTAGACCTAGCACTTTACAATAATGTCGGTTAATGTATTATGAAATCTTCAAAATGGGCATTTAACATAAACAATATGCTTACAATTTTAACATTTTACGCAGCACATTTCTGAATTCAAATAGATTCTGTTACAATGAAGACTTAATCTAAATAATATGAAGAAATTCATAACAACCCTCTTAATATAATGAATTTGCTAATACACTTCAGTATAATGAAGAAGATTTCATAGAACCATAATAAGAGTAGCTTGTGTATCTTAAATATTTTCAGAAAGATATGAATATATTAAATAGAAGTTGAAATATTCTTATTCATTGTGAATATCACGATTAAATTTATTTATTCTATTTATTTAGTGAACATTACTAAGGAAAGCCAGACTATAATTATGTAAATTTTTATACCAACATCAATTGTATGCTTATTTTTTAAAAATTAACACTTTCCTACTGGAATTAATAGATCTGAGCTACGAGATTGAGTATAGCGAATCGTATCTTTAATTATATATTTATACATAAATTAATATTGGAAGATAAAAAATAAACAATAAAAGAATAGTATATATAATGAACAAAAATACCTGTATTTATAATTTTGGGGGTTAAATCATTATTATAAGATTCATTGATAGAATTGATTTCTATTTCTGGGATAGAAATTTTGCCACTACAAATTTCTTGATAATTTTTTTTTGAAAACTCATAAAGTTCCAAAGCGCTTGGTCTGAAAGAAGCATCAGAATTCCAACATTTTTCCATTATTTCTTCATAGCCAATTAGTAAACCAGGAATTTTTGGTGGACGAAGACCAAAATAAATATCTCTTGCAAGTGAAATGTCATGATTTCTATCCCAATATGGAACATGATTACATACTATTTGCCACATAATTATTCCAATACTATATATATCAACTGCAGTCGTATAATCAGAGCCTATTAGAGCTTCAGGTGCGATGTATGGTAGAACTCCAATAATTTCACTTTTTGATTTATCATCTGAAAACTTTGAAATTCCCAAATCACCAATTTTCCAACTATTTCCAGTAATTAAAATATTTCCTGGATGAAGATCTCTATGTATAATATCATGTTCATGAAGTTTTAAAAGTGCCAAAGTAATATCACATAATAAACTATATCTTTCTTTCCAGGTAAAATTATTCTTTTTTAAAAAATCTTTTAAATCGCCATCGAATGCATATGACAGTACCATCATATAATTTTCATTCTCAGGATCCTTGGTTAAGCCATAACATTTAATAAGGTGAGGAATTTCAGAAGTAAGCATAATATGGACTAAAACCTAAATTAAATAGTAAGATTAGAAATTTTCAAATAGGAAAGGTATATATATACATAGATATTTTTAGATTCACCTCTTTATAAAAATCTTCATTTTGATTATTGAAATTTCTCATGGATTTTAAAATAACCAATGTGGATCCACCTCTCAAAAATTGGTTTTCATAATCATTCCAAGAATAAATTGGGCCATCAATCCAATAAGCAACATAAATAGATCCGTATCCACCATCTGTTTTATGTCCATGAATAAAAAAATTTTCAAATGGAATCCATTCAACAATATTAAGTCCAGCAGAATATTTTAATTGAGAAAATCGAATTCCCGAATCCAAAATTTTATTCCCAGATGTCCATTTTGTAAAATTATTTTCTAAATAAGAACGAACACACATTATGCAATAAAAATTTTCATAAAGGTCATATTGACAATTTATGCATTTCGCATTTAATTTTTTAAATTTTTCATCATGTTTTTTTGCATTAAGTTGATCATAAAAAATACTCTTATTAATGTCATCGATAAAAGCTTTTTTATCTGAATAAGAAAGTAATTTGTTATCTTTAACATATTGAATTAGATTTTTTGGTGAATCAAGTTCTAATGACAAAGTTCGAGATATATCATTTAAGATTTTTACAAAATCGTCAATTTGACTCATCTTAATTTCAAGAACTCGAGTTATAAACTTAAATTTACAGTTATAAAGACCGTTGTCTGTGCTCCTGGTTTTTACGTACATGTGTAGTACATACATACATAACTTATAAATACTCTTACAGTCTTACACAAGACAATATTTTGTCTAAGGTTACAAAAAGTCTTATTTGTATACTGTACTACTACAATGTTACGAATGCATTCTTAATTTGCGGTTTGAACTAAATGTCTGAAAACTGATTACCACTAATAACTTCAAGTTATAATTTGTAAAATTACATACGTACGTACGTCAACTTTTTCAAGTGGATATTAAATACAAAACAACTTAGGAAACATAATGAATTTTTCCAACTACGCAGATGGCATATCTGAGGTTGATTTTGCACTTATTATTTTGGCCAGGCAATTAAATAATATAGTTGATTCATATAATCAAATGCATACTGATTATGTTTTGAAGGATTGTCATGAAAAAATATTTGAAAATGTTGAAAATAAGCTGAAAATTAATAATAATGATATCGATTCATTAAAAATTCGTGGAACTATGTATACTTATTTAAATCAATATGAAAAAGCACTTAATGATATAAATAAAGTCCTAGAACATTTTCCGGATGATTTTGATTCTTTAAAAACTCGTATTATGATTCATTTAAATTTTAAAAAACCTGAATTAGCACTTATTGACTTAAATAATTTATTAGAAAATAATCATGTAAATAATATTATCTTAATATTATGTCGAGAATATATTTTTTTAAATTCGAGTCATCATGGTGAATCATCATTCATTGATTTTAACGGAATAATAGGAATCAATTGGATGAATAATGCATTTATATTAAAATGTTGTGGAGAAATTAATCAAAAATTGGGTTATTATGAAGAGGCATTTAAATACTTTAACAAATCATTGGAAATTAATCCAAATGACGAATTTATTTTGAATTCTCGAGAGAAAATTTATATGCTATTAAATAATCTTGGTGGATCAAATGAAGATTTTAATAATATAGTTACTTTAGAATTGTACAATAGCTCATTAATTAAAGTTTGCAATTATTACGAATTAAATCGGCATGACAAATCTCTTGTAGATTTAACAAAATCCTTGAAAATTAATCCTAATGATTATAAAAGTTTGGTGAAACGTGGTGATATATATCGTATATTGAATCATTATAATGAATCTCTTGCTGATCTAAACAATGCTATAGAAATTTATCCTAATGATTTAATCGCACTTAAAATTCGTGGAGAAGTTTATAGAATCGTGAGTAGATATAATGAATCACTATTGGATTTCAACAAGTTGTTAAGTATTAACCCTAAAGACGTATCTACATTGAGACTACGTGGAGAAGTATATAAAAATGTTGGAAAATATAAAGAATCATTGTTAGATTTTACTAATGCATTAACGCTAGAACCAAATAATGAATTCGCTTTGATGTCAATTATTACTACTAATGATTTATTGGGTAAATCTGAAGAATCTCTAATCATATTAAATAGCATATTAAAAAATTATGAAGAATTCAAAAACTTATTAACTGGTGAGTTAGAGATCAAAAGTATTCTTTTTTTGGCATTATTTTATCGTGGATGCATCTATTACTTAATGAATAAAGGCGAAGAATCTATTGCAGATTTTAGCCAATTATTGAAAATTAGACCTAGTAATGCATTGATTTTAAGTTGTCGTGGAGCAGTTTATCTTATGATCTACAAATTTGATGAATCACTCGCAGATTTAAATAAATCTTTAGAACTTGTACCTGATGACGCATGGACCTTAAGTGAACGTGGGTTAACGTTTTATATGATTAATAAATATGAAGAGTCACTCGCAGATTTAAATAGGTCCTTAGAAATTAAACCTGATGACGCGAGGATCTTAGGGTTGCGTGGAATTATTAATCGTACTATCGGAAAATATAATGAATCGCTAGCAGATTTAAATAAATCTTTAGAAATTGAACCCGATAATGCATCTGCCTTAAGTCAACGTGGAGAAACATATTACACAATTAAAAAATATGAAGAAGCTCTTATGGATTTCAACAGATCTTTAGAAATTGAACCTGATAATGCGTTGACTTTAAGCCAACGTGGAACCACATTTTGTATGATTAATAAATATGAAGAATCACTCGCAAATTTAAATAGATCTTTAGAAATCGAGCCTGATAATGCATTAACTTTAAGTCGACGTGGTTATATATTTCATATGATTAATAAATATGAAGAATCACTCGCAGATTTAAATAGATCTTTAGAAATTGAACCCGATGATGAATATGCACTAACTCAACGTGCAATAACATATTTTATGATCGATCAGTACGAAGAAGCATTTAAAGACTTTGACAGAATATTAGAAATTAATCCAAATGATACGGATACTTTAAAAGTGCGTGCAAATATTTTGCAATGGCTTGGAATGGATAAAGAGTCACTTGAGGATATTAATAAATCATTAGACATTAATCCAAATGATTGGGAAGCTTTGACAATTCGTGGAGAAGCATATCGACAGATGGGACAATATGAAAAATCGCTTAATGATCTTGATAGATCCATAGAAATCAATCCTTATAATGCTCATTCGTTTGAAATTCGTGGTGCAACTTTGTATACGATTGGATTTTATGGTAAAGCATTGCAAGATCTCGATAATGGATTAGAATTAGATTCAGATAATTATTTATGCTACGGATATCGTGGTGCGCTCTATTTAAAACTGAATCATTATGAAAAATCTCAACAAGATCTGGATAAAGCAATTGAATTATGCCAAGATGATTCATTTTGTCATTGGCAACGTGGGTCACTTTACAGTGCATTAGGGAAATACAATGAAGCTCTTTATGAATTCATTTCATTAGATAATTTTAATCCTAGATCTGAATTAGATAAATTTGAGCAAGCAGAAGCTTTTTATAATCGAGGAATTCTAAATAAAAAGTTGGGAAATTATGAAAATTCCGCTTCAGATTTAAGTAAAGCTATCGATTTAGGATTAGAAAATGAACAAATCAAATGTGATTATAATGAAGTAAATAACTTTATCAAATAAACAAGATACAGTAAATTATGCCCACTACATCTAAAATCATGTAATATTTGTAAACTTCCATTTAATAATAATAAATGATATGTTATAATGAAAGGTGTAATCACAGTGAGAGATTTTATAAAAAGCATTTATAAAGTGACTTAAAAGGAAAGAAGATTCATTTATATTGAAAGATCATAATTATGACAATGATTACAACAATGAAAGGCAGAAAAAAAGTTTGAGAAGGCTAAAGAAATATTGCCATTTCATCTAAGCTATTAATGCGAATAGACCAAATAAATTATTAGTAAATAGATAATTGGATCATAAATGTTTTATTTTTGCAAATATTATCAAAAGTCGCTTATTATATAAAGTCTTAACGCTTTAGAGATTATTCAAGATGGTCTTTACCATTCAAACGGAAAGTAACTGAAAACATTATAACTAAATTCTTGAAAAATTGATATTGCCTTTGATGTGTTGCAATTCTTGAATGTGTGCCAGGTTTGTGGCGCAATTTTTTCCTGAACTATGAATCAGATTTCAAGATCATGCGTAACGTAACACAATCAAGAAAATTCAAAACAAACGTTTGTTTTATCAAGAATCGCTTACTTCTTAAAAATCAGTATAAGAAATCAACTTTAATGCTCTAATAAAAAGTTTTCGTTGGGCAATTTTACTATGCAACTGATCCCACCCTGACCCTAACCATAAACGAACTTTAAAGAATTTTTGCTGCGCCATAAACCTGCACACATTCAAGAATTGCCGATGTGTTAACATATGACGTCTTTTCACTATTGTAATTTCTGTACAAAATCTTGTGTAACTTATAGCAAGTACCAGTAATATGTAAAATATCATATACATATACATGTTAATTAAAAACACACTAGAAACTATCATTGTTTATGCCGTAACAGCTTCTGCGGCATTAATATTGTGAGGACGGATTTAGATAGGATTAATAAGCGATCAATAAAGTAACTACAAACTGCAAAGCACAAACTACTTACCTGACCTTAAGGAAAGTACAAGACCCAGTGACCATCACTAAACAGAAACCGCCCGCCCTAAGAAGAAGCCAAATCCGCCGTTGATCGTTCGACGTACTCACGTGACCCGTAAAGCCGTCGCCGTAATAGGAGAGTTCCGACCCCGATTCGACGTAGCGAAATACCGGATGAGACAAGAAAAAT